GCACCATAAGCTATTGCCTGTGTCTTCAGGGCAGAGTGGAAACTACCAGATGGCTAATGATTAAGCACAACATGAGTTTGGGGACAAATCATAGTTAGGCTACTAATTCTCTTATAGCTGAATGTAGCTGGCCACAAGGGGACGATGAAACTAACAAAAATATTCATATACATCAACACTAAGGAAAATATTGAACTTCCAGGAACACTAATTACATAAGAAAATGAGGAAAAACATATGGAAATTAATAAAAGATGGGGGGAAAGACCCATAAAACCATCTACAAAGGCAGTATCTAAATTAGGGAAATCAATTCACTCCTCACTACTTCCATCCTCTCCCAGTGCTGTATGGCAGGGTAACTTGGTTTGTCTGCTCCTTAATTTACCTATCTTGGGGTATGTCTATACTGCAATAAAAGACCTGCAACTGACCTGAGTCAACTGACTCAAACTTGTGGGACTCAGGTTGCGGATCTAAAAATTACAGTGTAGATTCCTGGGCTGGAGCCTGGGCTCTGAGACCCCGTAAGAGGGGAGAGTCTCAGTCCAGGATTCAGCCCGAGCCTGAACGTCTACACTGCTGTAGTCATTTGAAGTATGCTCTGAGACTTCATGCTGCGTTTTTTTATTGCAGTGTAGATGTATGCTTGGGGATGTCTACACAGCAAAGAAAAACCCGCGGCTGGCCTGTGCCAGCTGATTTGAGCTGTGTGGCTGTTTTACTGGTGTGTAGACTTCTGGGCTCAGGCTGGAGTCCAAGCTCTGGGACCATGGAAGCCTGAGCCTAGAAGCCTACACAGCAGTGAAACAACCCCACAGCCCAAGCCTGAGTTTGCTGGCACAGGCCAGCCACAGGTTTGTCTTTGCTGTGTTGACATACCCTTGGAGACCTTTCCTCCATCTCTTGTATTTGGAAGAATGCAATTCTGTCTTTCTAGGTTTGATGAGTGATGAGATTCAACATATCACTCTACAAAGATTTCTTTAGAGTTCCAAGCCCCCAAGCACAATCCCGTCATAACCTCTCAAACTGTGAAGCAGCACTACCTTTCTCAAACTGAGTCTGTTTCCAACCAGCTTCTCCCTGTCAGTTTAATACCCATCAAAAGACACTGAAAATGCATCATCCCATTACCTGAGGAACTTCCCACGATCACTAAGTTACAATGTCCAAGAGCGGTAAGTTAACTTTTACTCCTGTTCAGTTGAATAGACTGTGTCTATTCCTTTCGCCAGAGTTTTGCCTGGCAGAGTATCTTAAAACACTTAAAAGGTGGGTTGACTTCTGTAATGAGTGTAGGATTTAACCCACTTACAATGAGCTTTGAGAGATGCTGTGGTGCGAAGTGCCTCTAAGGTTCCTTTGATATTAGTTTGTACTTCCAATTAGACAGTTTATTATTCTCATCTCTCAAATTCTCTAGGGTAATTGCTTTTACGTAGGTGCTGAGCAGGCCTTAGGTTCCTATGCCTCCACTTGAGGTTTCTTACTGTTTTGTCATTGGAGCCTGTGTACGTGATCTTTAATTAAGGTTACTTTGAAAGGAATAGTACTCCCTGTAGTGGCTAATGACTGATGACTAGGTGCTACTACTTGTTTTTCTTTTCCCCATGTTGTTTCTGGAACTCTTTGTTTATCCCTGCATTTTTGTATTGATTCAAGGAATTGTGGGGCATGGGGAGGGATTTTTATTTCTGGCTGTGTTGTTTCAAGTTTGTCTGTATATAGCCCTAGAGAGTGCTGTCTAGTCCCAGCCCGCACCACAGCTTCAGGATGGATCTTGAGAAACCATTAACATTTAAAGGAAATTCCTGTTTTTCTCTCTGGTGTAGAGAATTTGCAGAAAATAAATCTCAGTATTGTTTGTTAGAGCAATCTTATACCTTTTACATGGCTTCAAGCTCCCAATTCTTGTCCCTCCTGTGCTCACAGAGGCGGGCACAGACCTAAAACTTCTTATGGCCTTGACAAATCTGTGACTTTATTTTTGTTAAATGTTAACATTGGATTCCTGGCCAGGTTAAGCCAGATCACTTTGAGTCAATTGATAGTTCTTGATATCAATGTGGAATTTGTCACAATGTCATTGTGGAAGAAGCAGAGTCGATATATTGAGTCATCTCTAATAAGTTTTGTCTGAAGTGTTATTGCTGCTAAAAACTGTATTCTCGCGAAAGCTGAAAATAATTTAAAGAAATCACTGTTCATGAATCTGAGAAAAAAGTGAAGTTCTTTTTGTCTTTCAAAACCTGCTTAAAACGCCTCCTGTATATTTTCAGTCAGCTATTCAATAAAATTAAGATAATCTCAGGTGCTTTTCCTTAAAGTGCAAATTCTGTCAGCATTGACCACCTATCTCAGTTTGGTCACTTAAGTTTAAGGCTTAAAAAAAATTACTCAGTACTTTAGCCAGAAGACTCAGGGCTTGTCTACGTTACCCGCAGGATCCACGGGCAGCGATCGATCCGGGGTGGGGGGGGTCAATTTATTGCGTCTAGTCTAGACGCGATAAATTGACCGGAGAGCGCTCTCCCGTTGACTCCGGTACTCCACCAGGGCAAGAGGCGCAGGTGGAGTTGACGGGGGAGTGTCAGCTGTTGACTCACCGCGGCGAGTAGATCTAAGTATGTCGACTTCAGCTACGTTATTCACGTAGCGGAAGTTGCGTAACTTAGATCAATCCCCCCCCCCCTTCCCCCCCACCCGGTGTAGACCAGGCCTTAGCCTACTAGCCTTAGAGAAAAATGCCTAGGCCTCCAAGCCATCTCTACTGTCATTGAAGGGAACATAACAGCTATGTGCTGTGTTTGTGTGCTGTATTTAATTGTAACATAGTTTATTTAATACATTTCTAAAAATGTAATTTACTCTACCTGTCTTTTGTGTTCCCTTCCTAGCTTCACTCTACTCTTTCCATCAATAGATACTGGTGTAGCCTTTCTTCAGTTATTTAAAGGGTCTGTTTTCTGTCTTTCTCCGCCCCCCCCCCCCCCCCCATCTTTCTCTTTGCCTAAGACTAAGTAGTTATTCCTTAACTCCCTCCCTGTATTTTGTCTGTCACCCATCCATGCCCATCTCCTAGAAAAATTTACCAAATACAATAGCCAGATGATTAAACTGAAGGGCTCTAGTGTCCAAGCCAATCCTCTCTCCCTCCAAAACTGCTGGGAAAGAAGAGACTGCTTGGAGTATTTCTGTGACCTCTGACTAATAAGGTGTCTGAAATTTGAAGCCTACTCCTCCGAGCTCTCTTGCTGCTGGAAAGGAGAAGATGCATTTCTTCTTTGTCTTCTTCTCCCCTTTCCTTCCGGAACTCCTCTAGCTTTTGCAGATGTGCTGGTGTGAATCTTTGTTAATTTGTCCCTCACCAGCCTTTGTATTTTAGTTCCTTCTCCCTAGTTAACAGCTCCAGTGCCTAAATATATTTACGCAGCTGCTCTAAACTTCCGCAAACAGCAGCAGAAACAAATTTAGCCAATACTTGACAATTTTACTGTGGCCCACAGAGTTTTGGAAAGCCTCTGTGAAACAGTTAATGTCAGTCTGCTTGCAATTTGGGAAGGCCTGAGCAATGGCAGAGGCCTTGGAGGTGTCTGTCTACTGATTTAGATAAATATTTTGTTCACATTTGGAAAGTTGTCTTTTCAACTGTAAAGGCCACAAAACTTAATTTAAAGAGAGAGAGTGCTGTTCTGCAGAAATTGGTGGTACTCAGCTGTGATAGGTTTCCACTCACCCTGAGGGAGTAGATTTTTCAAGATCTGGATTAAGTATCAACTTCAGCCCTTGGATACTCAAATGGGGCTTTTATTGAAGTAACAGGTGCCGGGGCGTGCTTTTGACAGCAGAACTTGAACCTGACTCTTAAAAAGGTGGCCTTTACATTTATGAGAACTGGGAAGGTGTCAGTTTTAAGGAACACTAAAAGCTCCCCAAAATCTAATTGTCTATTTCACAATGTCTCTTATTTTTGTTTTTCAATTTGCATGGTACAATTTTCTTACAATGTATATTACAAAATACATTGAATCAAAAAATACTTTTACATTTGACTGTATTTTTGCCCAGACTGATCTGACCATGCTGCATGTACAGGAGATACCACGAGACATCTTAAATAGCGAGAATTGTGTGAATTTAACTCAAGTGTGGGATCTGTATACTTTGAGAGTACTTATTTGTAGGTAGGCAGGTTATTTCACTTTCCTATCAATTTACCCTTGAATCAAGTTACCAAGATAAGACAGTTGGCTTGAGAAAGAATTGATCTTGTGAGATGGTGGTAAAATGTGTCTACCCACCTACATCAGTGTTCCTGATGGGTGGAACTGCAAAATCTACAAAACTGACTGGTTCTTAGAGGCACAGAAAGGAGGATATGTGATCTGAGACTAGAGTTCTCTAGAGTATAGTAGTACCAGGCCGTGCCTACATGGAGGGAATTGACTGGCATAGCTATTCCAGAATAACTATTCTGATGTAATTTAGCTATGCTGGAATAACTCCTGTGTGGACACTATTTTGGATTAAAAGTGATTTTATTCTGGAATTTTTACTCTTATTTTGTGAGCAGAGTAATTAATTATTCCATAAAAGTCACTTTTATTCCAGAATCGTGTGTCGTCATGGGGAACTATTCCATAATAGCTATATTAGGCAGTTTTCCCATGTGGACAATACCTTGTCTTGTTAGGATAGAATTGCTAGTCTTCTGTGTACTAAACTCTTTAGCCAAAGTTCAGCACATGCATAATTTTAAGCATAAGAATAGCTCCTTTGACTTAAATGGGACTACTTATGCATAAAGTTACCTGTGTGCTTCGGTATCTTGTTGAATTGGGGCTTACCTACAGACAGACTGACATATCTCAAAGATCTTTTAGAAATTCGCTTTTCTTTAGCACTGGGATTACACTTCTAGCATATAGTTTTCCGTTGCAGAATAATGGAAAATTATACTGTTAAAACACACTAATATTTTATGCCCTTCTTTTCAGGGATCCATCAGTCTCTAAATCTATAGAAAGAATCTTTAAAATCTGGGAAGACAGAAATGTATACCCTGAAGAAACTATTGTGGCACTAAAAGAAGCTTTAAGTAAGTCCTTTATCTTTTGCCTTTCTTAACATATAAGCTAATTTAGTATGTGCTTGTAGGTAGTTATAGTCTGAAGTCAATAAAATAAAACAATCATTAATCACTGTTTAAATGGATTCGTTGCTCTTTCTGCATTTGCAGGAATTAATAAAAAGGAGAGCAAGTAGGTTAATATGAATGAGCTTTGCGATAATTATTTGTTGGACAATTCTTCCATTTAAATAAAGCCAATATTAAATCCTTTAATTTTTAGCTATAGTGTAAATTGCAATTGTACTAGTTGATAGAAAATTTATATTATGTTTAAGGTGACTTCATCCTAAAGGAGTTCTGAGCATCATGCCTAAACCTCTTCCCTTTATCTTGAGGTTTTGGGACATTCCGACTTTGCATCTACAACTTCAGTTGATACTAAGATTCCATCTGAGAAGAACAGGGCAGAGTAAAAATAATCTCTCTTCAATTTTCTCTCTGTAGATTATAGTAATAAGGTTGAATGTTATTGGTAAAATATCTACCATATTTGAAAAAAATATGGAAACACCCATTAGAGTGTGGAATAGTTTAAAAGTCCTCAGACACTCATGTAAATATATTTTTTAAAAATCCTGAGATTCCAAATATTAACTGAAAGCAGTATGCACATTAAAACTAAATAATGGAAAATCTGTTCTTTCTGATTGTGAAGGAGATGAGTGCATGATTCTGTTTTCCCTGATTACATTATTGACAGTTAAAACTGCTTTTCCGTTGCTGGTTTAGAGGTGGCTTTATGTGATTGGGGGTCAGTAATTGTTATTTGAGAAATACAAAACACTGTACTTGCTTCTTGGCGAATGAAAAGACTTTCAGTTAAACATTACAAATCTATAAAAGTGAAATCTATATGTGTGTTCTGTTAATGATTTGGAATCTCATACAGCTTTTGTAATTTAAAAAAAATTCAGCTCACTTCTAAATTTGATTTAATAAATATTACACTGTTTCGCAAGAAACTTTTCAGTTGGATGCATATCTTTTTAATTTAGACTTTGGGTAAGTAAATGCTCATTTAAACTACTAAACAACATACCTTACTATTTCTCCTGAAATGTGTTGTGTTTTCCTATTTGATTTTTTTGGGCCAGTCATAAATAAGTCATTGTCTAAGAGTTTAAAGAGCAAATTTGATTGTTGAATCCTCTGTTCTTTTAAAGGCGAACAGAAACTTGCTTTAAAAATAGAATGACCATCATAGAAGTTGCTGTATTCCTGAGTAAACTTAGTTTGTCTTGGGCATTCAACAGCTCATCTAGGAAAATTGGTTTGTGGATTTTAAAACAAATTTCTGTTAATCTTTTACCATGCAACCATATGACACCAAAACCAGAGACCTTTAAAGGAATCCCATAATGCCAGACTGCAAAAAATGAAATGTTTTCCAGGTACCACTTTCAAAACTCAGAAGCAGCTGAAAGAAACTCTGAACAAACAACCGAATAAGCCGTGGAAGAAATCTCAAAGTAAGGAAACAATATGAACTATCTGAACTAATATTAAAAATGCCTTCTTGAGGAACAGAAGAAAGACTAGTGCAAAACTGGCAAAGTACCTGGCCGAAAGTATGAGCAAGCATGTGTCTTCCAGACTTGTGAAGTTCCTTACTGACGTGTAAAACACCAAGGAGTTGCTGCTAGAAAATCACTTTTTAAGGAATGAAATGTGAATAAAATTTTAAGAGCAAAAGTTATGAACAGTAGAGAAAAGATCTGGTGGAACTTCTTGGAAACTGGCGTTAGAATATTCAGAGATGAAGAGAAGACAGACATAATAACCATGTACATTGGCAACAGTGAAACATGGACATTCCCTTCAAGTTCAGGAATACATCTTCGACAGCAAACTAGATTATAGGATAAATGGAATACTTACAGTGAGGCAGTGCAGTTAATGAATCATCATTCAAAACTATCAGGAGTACAGCTTGCTAGCTGGAACCACATTTATAATGTATCAGTCTCTAACCTTGCAATAACTGTAATATGGAGAATCCTTGGGTTGGCAAGAAAGCAAGATGATGGAACATTAGATGTAAAACTTGGCACATGCCACTCTGTGTGAATGCTGAGACAACTGGGACTAGGAAGACAATAAAAGGGGACAAGAGGGTTGGAATCTTAGATTACCAGAAAGAATTTGCCACAAGATATGTATGGAAAATCATTTTCTAGAACAAAATTGGACAAGGGAGTTAGCGTTTTTTATGTGATCATATTATTGTACATTTCTTTGCTATTTTTTAGTAATAAATGGATTTAGATCTCATTTTTTTCTCCTCTGTTTCTCAATCTCTAAATGAGATATTAGAACATAATTGTAAGGGCAGGGAAATCTTTAGGAGGGAGATTGGTTAGTCCAAGTAAAGGAGTAAGTGATCTATCATCCCAAGGAAATACTAAACCCCCAGAGGGTCAGTTCTCTGTGTCTAGAGGTCAGGAACTCTTCAGAGAATTATAAACTAGCACTCAAGGTTAGTGGATGAACCATTACAAGAACATTTATATACAATAGATCTGGAAAAGTTTTTCACAGTAACTGTTTATGTAGTGCATATATAATACAGGATCTCTACAGTCTAACTTGTTGGCTTCTGAATCATAGCTCTGTGCTTTCTAATGTGTCTGAAAGGCAGATAGATGTCACTCAATGTTCTGTGTGGAGGGGGAAATACAATGAAATGCATCCTGTGTATGTTTTGCATAGAAATGTGTTAAAAGGTTTTTGAAATAAAACAGTCTTTTCTGAATTTTGCTTGCAGTCAGTACTGAGTGTTTGTTGTACTTAATCTTTGTAATTGATATCTTAATTTCTTTACAAATTTTTATACCAACAGCATCCACAAATCCAAAAGTTGCTCTAAAGTCGAAGATTGTTGCCGAATTCAGAGTAAGTTTAGCAAGTGAAAACATCTTTTGCATTAACCTCTGTCCTTGGACCGTAGTTATGTTGACTAGTTTGTTTATATCCAAGAGTCATCGGGGCTTGTGTTGAAGCTGTGGCCCTCAGTGTTGATTTTTCGTTATTGTATAGTGCCCACAGTGCCCTGAGGCTGCAAACTCTGCAGGCATGCAGCCTGTTCTGTAAAGCATCATGTAGGCTGGTGCTATTTAAAAACAGGGCATGGAAATAGAGCTAGGGACTGGAGGTAGTTAGTAAAGGCAATTCATACTTCCATACCATTTAGAATTAACTGCTGCAAGAAAGCAGTTTGCCTTCTTGCTAAGAGTGAACTGCTGTAGCTTTTGTAGCCAATGAGTATGATTATATGATTGCCCATTGTTTTAATGTGTGTTTAAATATAGGAACACTTATTAGGGCCTTGTCTACACTTAAGCGTTTACTGGTAGAATTATACTTGCAACCCCCGTAGTGGAGATGCAGCTTACACCAGCAAAAGTTATTTTGCTGCTATAGCTTAAAACAGTTCCATGAATGGAATAGCTACACTGGCAAATGGATTTTTTGCCAGTATAACTGGATTTGCACAAAGGCTTTTGTTTGTCAGTTGAGGGTGTAATTTTTTCACCCCACACTCCTAACTGACATACCTCTGCTGGCAAATCTTTCTCCTGTTTACCAGACATAGAGTTCTGATCATCACCTTGTTCATTTCACTTCCATTCGTTATGAATTTAAACCATATGTTTCTCTGAATTAATTTATTCCAGCATCAGTGAAAAAGCATCTGCTTTGATACAGAGACAGCTTTTCAATGAAATATTTATTTCTGTTACTTAAAAACAGGTCCATGATGTTATTGTTGCAAAGTTAGGGCTTCTCTTCTGCAGAATGTGATGAGGATGCTGTTCTTGTTTTTCAGCCACAATCCCTTGTTGATGAATTGTTGTTATATAAGCGTTCAGAAGACCAGATAGAACTGAAAGAGAAGCAGCTTTCCACCATGAGGGTGGATGTATGCAGCACTGAAACACTTAAATGCTTAAAAGGTACAAGTCGTGTATTCTGGCAGTCATATTATCAAAGGAAACAAAAATGTATCAGTAGTTGTAGTAATTCATGGGCTCTTTTACATCATAGGTTAGATTTCTGCCTTATTCTCTAATGAATTTCAGATTGTAGAATGCTAAATGATGTCAAAGCACAATTAACACATTTTCAGAGGTATCAGCTCCTTTTATTTAAAAAATACAGTACTGCAGTATTCTACTTTAGTGATCCAGTACATTACAGCAATATTGATACTGCAAAATTTTTAGCTGTCACTGTAGTATTTCATAAATCACAGGACAGAAATGTTTCTGATTTCAGTCATGAGCACATCAACATGTACATAGTCTCCCAATATCTTGTTTTCCTATGTAGTAGATCTTGTAATCCTTCTACAGTTGTTTTTAATTAAAAATGTAGTTCTCCCAATGCTTGTACTGAATGTTTTTATTTTTCAAATAACTTAAAGATGCACATTGTGCCCTTTCAGTCTGAAGTACAGAACTTCAGAGCACTTGTCCTCAAGATGTAGTAACAACTTCAACTCTGAGATTGAACCTGGGAGCTTGAGCAC